GCCTGGTGTGGTGCGAGGAGCGCCAAGCCGGGTCCGAGGGCCCGTTAGGGCCGCCAGCAACTGCTTTCAGCCACTGTGTGTGCGTCCGGATCCTGGAGCCCAGCGGGGAAGCTAGCACCAGCCTGGGCCGCACGCACGTCCTGCTGCACCACTGCCCCGCTTTCGGGCTGCTGGCCTCCTGCAGACACCTCTTCCTGGTGCCCACTGCCACCACCTGGCCTGGCGTGGCCCACGTTCTACTCATCTGGAGCCCAGGCAAGGGCAAAGTGATGGTGGCTGCCCCACGGCTTGGCCTCTCCTACAGTAAGAGTCTGAATCCTGGACGAGGGGACACGTGGGACTTCCGGACCCTGCTCCGAGGCCTTCCTGGGTTGCTGTCCCTCAGAGAGCCACTGGCTGTACACACCTGGGCCCCAACTCCCCACGGCCTGCTGTTGCTTGACTTTAGGGGCACTGTGAGCCTAGTGCAGTCCCACGGTGGTACCCGGGCAGTGGGCATCCTGCAGGAGGCACCTGTAGGCCCGCGGGGGTCTGCAGCCCTAGGCACATTTCAGGGCACTCTGGCCTGTGTGCTGGGCTCCACATTGGAACTGCTGGACATGGGCAGTGGGCAGCTGCTGGAGAGGAAGGTCCTAAGTACAGACAGGGTACATCTGCTGGAACCGCCAGCCCCCGGCATGGAGGATGAGGAAGAACTGGAGACCCGAGGGAGCCTTCGTCTGCTTTCAGCCTTGGGTCTGTTTTGTGTGGGCTGGGAAGCCCCACAGGGTGTTGAGCTGCCTTCAGCCAAGGATCTGGTGTTTGAGGAGGCTTGCGGGTACTACCAGCGGCGGAGCCTGCGGGGTGCCCAGCTCACTCCAGAAGAACTGAGACACAGCAGCACATTCCGGGCACCTCAGGCCCTGGCCTCCATCCTCCAGGGCCACCTGCCCCCATCTACACTGCTGACCATGTTGAGGACCGAGCTTCGGGATTACCGAGGCTTAGAGCAGCTGAAGGCCCAGCTCGTGGCTGGCGATGATGAGGAGGCTGGTTGGACTGAGCTGGCGGAGCAGGAAGTGGCACGCCTGCTGAGGACCGAGTTGATAGGAGACCAGCTGGCCCAGCTCAACACTGTTTTCCAGGCCCTTCCTACAGCAGCCTGGGGTGCCACCCTCAGGGCCCTGCAGCTCCAGCCAGATGGGAATGGCAAGCTGAGGTCCCAAGCACCCCCTGATGTGTGGAAGAAAGTGTTAGGGGGAATAACCGCTGTAAAGGAACCCCCCAATGGGATACTGCCCCCCTTTGAACTCCTCTGCCAATGTCTGTGCCGGCTGGAGCCTCGATGGCTGCCACCTTTTGTGGAGCTGGCTCAGCAGCAGGGTGGGCCGGGCTGGGGGGCAGGGGGCCCGGGACTGCCCCTGTATCGCCGAGCCCTGGCAGTGCTAGGTGAGGAGGGGACCAGGCCTGAGGCTCTGGAGCTAGAGCTGCTCTTGAGCAGTGGGCGGCCCAAAGCTGTGCTCCAAGCTGTCCGGCAGCTGGTGCAAAAGGAGCAATGGGATCGGGCTCTGGATGCAGGCCTGGCCCTCGGCCCCTCCAGTCCCTTGCTTCGAAGTGAAATATTCAAACTGCTGCTGGCCGAGTTTGCCCAGCACCGCCGGCTTGATGCTCACCTCCCCCTCCTTTGCCGCCTGTGCCCACCAGAACTGGCTCCAGCTGAGCTCCTGCTTCTACTGAGGACATACCTCCCAGATGAGGTGGGGCCCCCTACCCCATTTCCTGAGCCTGGAGCAGAGCCCCCTCTCACTGTGGGCTTACTCAAAGCCCTGCTGGAGCAGACTGGGACTCAAGGATGGCCCTCAGGCCCAGTTCTAAGCCCATATGAAGACATCCTATGGGACCCTAGCACTCCACCCCCGACTCCACCTCGGGACCTATGACTACCCTTCAGGCATCAGAACACTCAGGACCTGGAGGCTTGCTTGGACAGGTCCTCTGTGTCACTGACACAGGAAATCATTTCTGGGACACAGTGATCAGGGAAGGGTGCGTGGGACTTGGAGGGGCCCATGGTGGACCTGTGTATGCAATATTCTTCTGTCATCTGGAGCTATTTTTAAGATATGTGTGTGAAATATATACATAGTTTAATATATACACAGTTGTGTGTTTTTAAACAGCTACGGGTCTCAGAGGATGCAGGTTATAGAGGGACTGGTTGGATCTGGATCTTTTGGCTAAAGTCCCCACTTCCAATCATGAAAATAGTTAACATTTATGAGCATTTAATACATGCCAGGCATTCTACTCATCTTTATATAATCCCTCATTTAATGCTTCTCATAACCCCAGTGGGGAAAGTACTGCTGTTATTCCCATTTTACAGGAAACAGAAGTTTAGAAAAATTAAATGACTTGACCAAGTTCATTTGGCTAGAAAGTAGCAGCTCAAAGATTGGAGCCACCTCACTGAAACAGCCCAGTAGCTCCCACCTGCTTGGGCTTGAATGTGCTGTCCATCCCTGGCTTCAAGCTGGCTTCTCTGGCCTGCTGAGAGGAGGAGGACTACAGAGCTCCACCCTTCCTTTCCCCAGGACTTCTCTGCTCTGGAGTAGGAACTTTGCTGGGCCCTGGGTCCTTGCTTGTCTCCACCAGGATTTCTGGAGCAGCCCTTAGTTTAGGGGAAGACTTGCCACAGACAGGAGAGCTGCCTGAGAGCTCTCTGGCTCAGTAACAAAATTCACTGGGAGCAGAGCTACCTGGAGAGCCCCATATTTCTGCTGACTCCCCCAAGTCAAGAAATAAGAGCATCTGCAACACAGATCTCTGCTTGTCTGGATTTATTCAACAGGCTCACCTCTGAAGAGGCCTTTGCCCTATGCTCACTTCTACCCAAGTAACCCCTCAGCCTAGCCTAGGATAGACCCCTGGTTCTAGCTTAGGGTAGGACCCTGGATGCAGCTACTCAGCATCATCCCCAGTCCCAGATACTCCTTGTCCAGGGTGGGGGCCAAGGTTAGGGCTGCCGCTTAGCTTTGTCCTCAGCTGGGACCTGCAGCTTAGATGCTGGTAGCCTTAACCTGGGTTTAAGGTGGACTCAGGCTAGGACTAATGAGACTAGGGACAGTTCCTGTCTCTCAGGGGAGAGAAGTAGCTACTTAGTCTTATCCATGGCTGGTGTTAACTCTTCAGCCTTATAGAGGCCATGAGGTGGCTCATCTACATGGCCAAGTCCTGAGGTACCATCTTAGCCTCCTCCAGAGCTTGGATGGCCCTTGTCCTCTCCCTCAAGCCAGACTGCCTACCAATACTTGGAGTCAAGCTGCTGTTCTTCCCAGAGGCCCAGGGCTAGGGACAGTCCCAATCTAGGCCTCCACCTCAGCCCCTTCCTGGTCTGGAAGGAGTTCCTCTTCTTGGTCTTGAAACTAGGCTCATCACGGCTCCTCAATGGGAAGCTGCTTCCTGTTTATGATCCTGCTTAATCATTGTTGCTTCTTCTCAAATCTCCCAAGCCTGAGATTTGGCTTGGTCCTCCTTCTGTGCCCGGAAGAGAAGGAATTCTACTCATTGGGCTCCTGGGGGCATGGGTAAGGGAAGGAAGCCAGGTTTTTCCTTAAGACTGTATGGCTCAAGGAAGTTCCCCGGGACCACCCACTAGTAGGGCCTCCAGATGAAGGCCACCCAGCCCAGCAGCTCTGAGCAGAGCAGGTGGACTCAGATGGTGACTTTTACCTGCTTTTACAGGCTTGGCGCTTGATCACATTAGCCTTATTCTTCCCTTCAATGTAGAAGGTGCAAGTGATCCCAAACTGCATCTCAGGACTTTGGGAACAGCTCAGGGATCATTGTGTGACTGAGTTTTTCTTTTTTTTTTGTTTGAGACGGAGTCTTGCTGGAGTGCAAGTGGCGCAGCCTCGGCTCACTGCAAGCTCCGCCTCCCAGGTTCATGCCATTCTCCTGCCTCAGACTCCCGAGTAGCTGGGACTACAGGTGCCCGCCACCGTGCCCAGCTAATTTTTTTGTATTTTATTAGTAGAGACGGGGTTTCACCGTGTTAGCCAGGATGGTCTCCATCTCCTGACCTCATGATCTGCCCACCTCGGCCTCCCAAAGTGCTGGCATTACAGGCGTGAGCCACCGCACCCGGCCGTGCGTTTTAATGGAGTTCCTGAGCGGGCTATCAGACAGAGGTCTCTGAATAGGAGGGTGGAGATCTTAAGCCAAAGTCCTTGGCCTTGGGTACCTGAGAAAGGGGTTAATTCTGGCATTGATGGGCTTCATTTTTACTTTTTTTTGAGATGAATCTTCGTTCTTGTTTTCCAGGCTGGAGTGCAATGGTGCGATCTCGGCTCACTGCAACCTCCACCTCCCGG